TCATTCATATCTGTAATTCTGTAACTCACTTCATGATAGAATACTTCATTATTTTGCAGAAAGCACAAATTATTGTCAAGATAAGTGAAAACCAGTAATATCGAGTAAAGATACAAAATCATTTATCTTTTAATTCTAATCTAACCTCTGTAAACAATGCAAAAGAGCTGAATTAAGTTCAATCAAAAAAGATTAGAATCTACCAAACAAGATAATCATAAAATAGCCAACAAAAGTTATCAGGTGATTTCAGAAGGTATGAGAAGTACTTTATCAAGCATTCCTAATTTTCAAGAATGACTTATCAAAAAATGCTGTTATTTGTTTTTTTTTTTTTTTTTTTTTAAGATTTTATTTATTCATGAGAGAGAGAAAGGCAGAGGGAGAAGCAGGCTCCCAAGGAGCAGGGAGCCCGACGCAGGACTCGATCCCAGGACTCCAGGATCATGACCTGAGCCGAAGGCAGATGCTTAACCATCCGAGCCACCCAGGAGCCCAAAAAATGCTGTTATTTGAAAAACAAGTGTATTTTATCCCTTCTTTATCATAGTTCTAATTTCCAGTAGCTCCTTAGCGGTAAAAAAGTGTTGGATAAAAGTAAAATAATGCTTCGCAATTAATAACAAAGATACCCTAAGACTTCAGCTCAATAAGAAAAACAGGACAGAGATATGTTCCTAAGAATTTGTCCATCTCAAAAATAAGCTAAAAGGAAGCAATTAAATCAAAGCTTTGGGCCTTAATAATAATATAAACCACCAAATAAGCAACTATTTGAAATAAACCTTCAATTCAAAGATTGATGATCATCTGGGTGGCACCTTTAAAGATAATCTTACCATGGGAGGGGAAAGGAGGGAAGGCTACATAATCTTTTTAGGTTCTCTGCCTCATTATTTTGCTAAAATTGGTGCAGCTTATCAATAGTATAGCAACATTTCAGCCACTAGGTAGCAGGTAAAAAAAATGCAACAGCTAAAAAACAAAATGCAAGCAAAGCATGCAGGTGCAAATTAAGTTACTGACTAGTGTAAGAGATCAAAGGTACCAACAACCCAACTCTTCCAATTCTACAGCAACTGCCAAGAAGTGTGATTAAATGAAGAACATCCAAAGTATGACTGGCCTTGCCAAGGTTGGGTCTGAAGACCGTCTTCTAAGAAAATTGAGATTTTGGACCGTGGGTGATTCACACTATAAGGCCAAGGAATCAATCAGAAATGAGTCTGGGGAAGAAGGGCTCGAAGATGAAGGAAGTAAATCCCATTTCTTGAGTTTAGTGGAGGTGTGCAATAAAAGAAAATATCCAAAGCTAAAGAGAACCCACCCACCACCATCCTCACACTCTACAACCTTATCTCCAAAATACTATCCACACTGTCTGAAATGCCACCTAGAAGTAGAGAGGACTAACAAGATAAACAGACCCCAATACATACACAAAAATAAAACTATTCTCCAAGAATATGCACCAATTAAGGTTATCAAATTTTAATATCATGGAGACATGACTAGATTATAGTAAACTGTATGATGAACATACAGGTTCATCCACATGGTAGTTATAAAGGTCAATTTGGAATTTTGACTCCAGTACATGGGAAGAAAATGTCCCACCCATAAACATGAGTATCAGATCCGTGAAACGAAGAATCTTAAAACAGAGACAGATGCATCAATGTGTCACAGTCTGATGGCATCAGTCATTAAGATAATATAACTAATTCCCCTGGGCTCTGATTCTAAGCTTAACAGACAACCTGCTTATTATAAATTTGTCTTCTCATATATATTAATGCAATGTTTTCTACCTCTCCTCTCCAACATAAACTAAAGGGGTCAATATAATTCCAACACTAACAATGATTCACTAGGGCAGTCATTTTTAACCAGGAGGCATTCCACATATTAAAATTCCCAAGGGATTGTTTATCATTTTATAAAACACCCTAAAACTGTGAGATTCTTATGAGTTCCTTCCACTGGTTGAGAATTATGGGCCTCCACAGAGAATACATTGACCTAATTTGGTGAATCTGATAATTACATTTCTCTCTACAAATTAAAATTTTTGGCATTTTGGTTTTTATATATCAGTTTCTGCACCCCAGATTAATTATAGGTATATCGAAAGGCAGAGATGTCCCTTTGATATGCCAAAGAATCAGTTATACATATTGAATATAAGTTAGAAGCTTATGACACTAAAAACCAGAATGGACCTTAAATGGAGGTCAACTAATCCAATCTAGTCTAACATTCTCTCAATGAAAGAATCCCTTCTGTATTTCTGACATTGGTTTACTTTGTCTACTTCCTACCTAACACCTGAGGAATAACTGCACTGATAGTTTACCCCAAAAATGAGGGGGAAAGAGGTGTTTTTAGAACATATATATCTCATTTCTTTTTTTTTTTTTTTTTAAGATTTTATTTATTTGAGAGAGACACAGCGAGAGAGGGAACACAAGCAGGGGGAGTGGGAGAGGGAGAAGCAGGGGGAGTGGGAGAGGGAGAAGCAGGGAGAGGGAACACAAGCAGGGGGAGTGGGAGAGGGAGAAGCAGGGAGAGGAAACACAAGCAGGGGGAGTGGGAGAGGGAGAAGCAGGGAGAGGAAACACAAGCAGGGGGAGTGGGAGAGGGAGAAGCAGGGAGAGGCAACACAAGCAGGGGGCGAGGAAGAGGGAGAAGCATGTTTCCCGCTGAGCAGGGAGCCCGCGGGGCTCGATCCCAGGACCCCAGCATCATGACCTGAGCCGGGAGCCGAAGGCAGACACTTAACGACTGAGCCACCCAGGCACCCCATATATATATATATCTATCTCTCATTTCTAAAGGTAAGCAAACCTGGGCAGGGCACTTCAGTGAAAGAGGCCACAAGACATACTTTGGGAGATAAAAGTGCAGAGTGGAGGGAAGACAGAAGACCCAAAGGAAAATGATAAAATGACCTGCACAGAGACTTCACAAAAGAAATCCAAATGGCAATAAATTAATTAAAGGAGCACAATCTCATAAGCAATCAAAGAAATACAAATTAAAAACATAAAAGATATTAAATACCCAACAGAATGACAAAAATTAAGAAACTGGATAATAACCACTTTGGAAAACAGGCATCATACAAATAGCCCACCAACCAAGGATTTTACTTCTTAGTCCTAGAGAAACTCTTGCATGCGTGCACCAGGATTCATGTTCGTAATAGGGCTGTTGTTACAGAAACTAAACTAGAAATCACTCAAAAATTGGTCAAAAGTATAGAATAGACAAATAGCTATGTGTGAATACAACTGAATACTATATGACAATGAAAATGCACAAACTGCAACTGTATGCAACAATATAGACAAATTTCATAGACTTAATAAAAAAAGCAAGAAGAAAAAGATTGCAAACAGGTGATTTCATTTATACAACATTCAAAAACAGACAAAACTACATTATATTTCTTGGAGATATGTTCACATCCTCACATACAGTCAAATTATTTTTAGAAAGCAGAAGTATTATTGCAGGAGTTATTTTGTGATTGATTACCCCTAGCAGTTGTTACCCTAGGAAAGGAGATACTGTGACCTAAGGACAAACAGGGACTTCTAGAATATCAGTAATACTCTATTTCTTGACCTGGCTGATGATTAGCTTTCCAATTGTTCTTCAAACTATACATAAGTTTCCTATACTTTTCTATAGTTATATCATGTGTCAAGAAAAAATGTTGAAAGAAAGAAGCAAATAAATTTGCCCACTTTAAAATTCTACTTAAGGCTAATCTTGCCTTTCCCCACAGACCAGACTGAAATATCTATTTCTTAAAAAAGTGGAGTCCATATGGAAAGGAAGTCCCTTCAAGATTTAATCCTGGATTATTCTAAGGATCAGAGTGTACTAAGCTGCACCCCTAAAGTTAACTATGCTTGACAAATCAGTGTGTGAGAAAATATTTTTAGTTATTCAAAACCATATATCCTCAAAGTTTACAGAATATCTCGCTAATGATTTACATTTTAAATACTCAATTATTATTCCCAGATTCCCTTATACCACAACAGCTAAATTTGAAAAAAAAGACATCTTTGTTCAATCCTCCATCTTCCTCAATTCTAACAAAGTAAGTTTCTAGAACACATTTCCATTTTGAAGATTTCTGCTATGCTGCTTTCAATTTCAAGTCTCACTTCTCCAGAAATGAAATCTTAGCAATCAGATCTCTTTCCTTCATACACACACAATAAAAAATTTTGCTATAAAATACGAAATTTAACTGTTATTCCTTCTTTCTTATTTGCAATGTAGAATGGAAAGTCCTGGGAAATTGACAGTGTCCAGGGTGAAAGTCTGGCAAGAATGAAAAGTACAAAGAAATAAGAAGATAAATGCTTCTCTCTAATACAAAAGGCTCAAAAGGTAAACTGATAGGGGCACCTGGCTGGCTCAGTCGTTTAAGCGGCTACCTTCGGCTCAGGTCATGATCTCAGGATCCTGGGATCGAGCCCCATATGGGGGGGGGGGTCCCCTGCTCAGTGGGGAGCCTGCTTCTCCCTCTCCTCCCCGTTCCTGCTTTCTCAGTCTCTCTCTCTCAAATAAATAAATGAAATCTTTATCAAAAAAAAAGGTAAACTAATAAAATTCAGTTACTCGTTAGTTTTTTTGGTCTTTGTTTTCCTTGTTCCCTTGTTTTTAAACAAAATGTAAAAAGCTACTCAAGGAATTTAATTTGCAATTAGATTTTTTTTAACTTTTTAATTAATTTTTAAAAACTCTTAAAATTCTACTTAGATGCAATGAGTACATAAATCTTAAGTGCATAGCTCAATGAATTTTATACACACACATACATATACACAAACATCCATGTATGAAGATGAAGATACAGACTTAAAGCTAGATTTGAAAATTTTATTAGGGAAAAAAACCCAAAAACCCAAAAGATTAAATAGCACTGGTCCTCTAAAGCAATAGATATTTATTTTATTTAGTTAATTTTGTTTTCATACCTCACAGTCACCTTGAGCACTTTGAACATTGCACCACCTGGCAACAGGTTCAGGAACCACCTCCCAATCCTCGCAGACCTGTTTTAGGATATTCACAAATGTTGTTTTCCCTGAAGCTGTTGTGAGAGGAAAAGGAAAATTGAAGAAGGAGACTTAGGAAAAAAAAGAAAAAGTCAAAATAGACATCAGCTTTTTCAAAATTTATACTAGCAAACAATACAAAAAACAAAAATATTCAATTTCCCAAACTTTCTCTTTAGATTTGTTTCAGTGAAAACTAAAAGGGTCCCTACACACTTGTATTAGGCACATTTGTTACTGTTTTCAGTTTATCAAAGCCACGGAATAGGAGAATTTAAAATCTGGTGAAACTGTAGGCAACATGTTGCGGCAGAAAAAAAAAAAAATCCTAGTCCTAGCCTCACTTTCCTTAACCAAGTAATTAGAGATAACTGTGGGAAATAGTTAAGGCTATTCTTCCACTTAATTAGATATGTGATTTTGGGCAAGTCATTGAATCTCTCTGAGCCTGTTTCTTCATAATACAATGGAAATAATAATAATACCCTCTTTATGGAAATTGTTGTGATAAACAAGCTATGACTACAGTGACAATCATTATAGGCTCTCGCATTTTCAAAATTTTTCTGTCTACTGGCTCTATTCTCTGTTTACAAACTTAAATCTTTCCTATCTAAAACCAACTTAGAAACAGCCAAATGAACTATAAAATCAATATAAAGATGTATCCAATACCTAGAGTTTTACAAAGAGAATTAGTATGATTATGACACTAATTGTATAACTATACAACATTAAGCCATAGTACCTAACAGAAATTATAAAAACATTTTTGCAAAGACCCTTATAAGGAATAGCCATGCTTTCTCTGCTTCACTTTCATGGTTCTGTGCACTTATCCAACCCTTTAAAAAAAAGTTGTATGTACTTTGCTTCTCCCTGATCATTCACTAGTTTCTGAGACACCTATAGGGAAAATAACAGAAATAGTTCAGGTATAATCAGGACATACTATATTCACTATTTTAATATTACTTGGGAATACATTCCATTTAACAGTAGGGAAAGTCTTGACCTAGAATTTTACAGGGTGTAGCAACACTCCCAATGACCACCACACCCTTCCTATCTGAAGTCACCAAAAGTGGTTATATTAGACACCTCTGGTCAACATGATGTATTCTCTCTTTCTCGCTCTCTTTTTCTCTCCATATGTATATAAAAATACACACACATAGATTAAAATACAAAAAAGCAGCTTCTACAAGCTTACAAGGAAAGCTTCCTCATCCTTATAAAACGGGATCCAAAGAGGGCAAAAAGAACTTACTTTTGACTTGAATGACTATATTCAAACCTAGGACATTACATAGGCAATAAAAAGAAGAAAAAAACAGAACTTTAACAGATCACACGTAGCCTGGGTAGCTCAGTCTGTTGAGTGTCTGACTCTTGGTTTTGGCTCAGGTCATGATCTCATGGGTCATGGGATCAAGCCCCATGTCAAGAATCAAGCTCAGTGGGGAGTCTGCTTGAAGATTCTCTCCCTCTGCCCCTCTCCCCCACTTTCTCTCTCAAGTAAATAATTTTTTTTTTTTTTTTTAAAGATCACACATAGAGCAAAAACAGGGATGGGGAGGAAGGGGGTCAATAAGAAGGTAACATAGAACAGAGAACTGCTGAGAAGCAAAACAAAGTCATCCCCACAGGATAGGAGAAAAGGTGTTAAGGATAAGCTAGATGACCATTAGATTTAATCATGGGAAAAAGACTGGTGACCAAAGATTTCATATGGAGCATTTAGAACGGTAAGCAGAAGCAATTAAAATGATCACTGGATACTGACTGAGCTAGATGGAAGAAGGAAAGGAAAACATGATGTTCAGAAAGAGGATCCAATCTGGACACCTGGGTGGCTCAGTTGGTTAAGTGTCTGCCTTTGGCTCAGGTCATGATCCCAGCGTCCTGGGATCGAGTCCCCCATGGGGCTCCTTGCTCAGTGGGGAGCCTGCCGCTCCCCCTGCTTGTGTGCTCGCTCTCTCTCTCTGACAAGTAAGTAAAACCTTTAAAAAAAAAAAGAAAAAAGAAAGAGGATCCAAGGAACACATGAAAAAAATCAGGCATCAGCCAGAGTCTGAAAGCGTTTAAAGCTAGAACATTCACCTGTCTTCTGACATGCCTACAAACAGAAAAATTTCATGTGGTCATACTCCAAAATTTTAAGAGCAAAAACAGCTATTCTTTAAAATTACTCTTCAGTTCAAGCAGAGTAACAACAGTTACCTGTAGTTCCCAATCAGATTAATATCTAGTTCGTTAGCTTTTTGGGGGGAAAGTGTGGAGCTAGAAAATAAGCCAATTAATAAATTAATATTCTACGAAAGCAAAGGAGAACAAGGACCAAAGACACTGATGTTAATACTTTAAAAGTCATGGGACCTAACAGAATTACTAATGCCAACCGGGTATTATGATGCCAAAAATCATCTATACAAACTATTAAGATAAAAAGAAGCAGGTAAGGCCTCCATAAATCTAACACAAGGGAGTATTTTAGTAACAGAGAACATGAGAAGGTAAGTTACTAAGTATAAAACTAAAATGGCCAGTTAAAGTTTAAATTCTAGGAATCACTAAATAGTCTTCTACACACATATTAGCAATCTGGACATTTATACTTATTTGGGTCTGGCAAATGAGGTGGAAGGGACAGGAACAACAGTGCTAACACATTAACAGCAACTGACAAAGCCTCAGTGTCAGGAAGACAGTGAGTGGTAAGGAACACAACCCATCTAAACAGCAAATTGATATCTTACAGAAACAAACGTCCAGTGTTACCAGATCTTCAGATATTTTAAGAAATGCCAAGAATCTAGATGTTCACAAGAAATCTCAAAATTTTTAAATGCTAGCAATTCATTAAATTTTTTTTTCAAATCTATGCAGGCCACTACTGTGCAAATGCAAGCCACCAGTTTGAAACTCCTTCCAGTGTAGATAATGGAGAAATCAGAGGATTTTAAGTAGGGGATAACACAATTAGATTTGTATATAGAAAGTCTGCTCTGGAGCTAGGTAAGAGAAACTGGAGATGGGGTGACATATCAGGAAATTATTTCAGGTGCTGGGAAGATTAAAGATGCTTGGGGAGTAGTAAATTTCTAGATATGATATGTTGCTTAATTGGATTTAAGAAAGGGAAGGGGATTAATTCACTGTGGTATTGATCTGAAGGGTTGTTCATTTAAATTTACTTTTGAAATGGCTGCTCAACCACTTCCTCCTTTACATATGTTCTTCTTTATCCAATATGTAGCTATGAGGAACCCGACTAGTAAACATTCAACTTCAAAGAACTTATCCTAAGAGGAAATGAGAGTCTATTATAGGGATCTTTTATACTGCTGCCTGAATACTGTTGAAAGGCAACAAGATCTCCTCTTTAAGAGCGTGTTCAGCAATTTTCTACTCTTTGGAATGCTGCTATAGCATCTGCTTTGCCCCATCTTTTTAAAGAAGTACAAGAGCTTTGAATGTGGTAAGAATTAAAAAACATTTGCTGTATGCATGAATGGCCAGTACCCAACTTGGAGCCAAAAAAATTCTATCAGAACAGGAAGTGTCAGGCATAGGTTTCCTGTGGTAGGAAATACAGAAGAATCTAAGTTCAGATGTACCTTGCAAAATGACATGGATGGTATAGTCGGCCCTCATCTGGGTTAGGAACATAAACAGTACTGGTCTTTGAATCATAAGCCAGTGTTTACTTGGATGTGGGTGCAGGGGTGAGGAATGCCATGATATTAAGATCATTAAAAAAAAATTCTTCCCTTGGGGCCCCTGGGTGGCTCAGTCGTTAAGCTCTGCCTTCTGCTCAGGTCATGATCTCAGGGTCCTGGGATCCAGCCCCGCGTAAGGCTCCCTGCTCCGCGGGAGCCCTACTTCTCCCTCTCCCACTCCCCCTGCTTGTGTTCCCTCTCTCGCTGTGTCACTCTGTTAAATAAATAGAATCTTTAAAAAAAAAAAAAAACTCTTGCTTTGTACTTCAATGTTTAGAGCCATTTTATCCATAATCGTTAAAACTGGAAACCATCCAAATGTTCACAACTGGGAAGAGATAAACTGTGGTATATCCATGCAATGGAATACTACTCAGCAAAAAAAGAGAACTACAGATACAAGCAATATGCTAAAATAAAAGAAGCGTTATGCTAAATAAAAGAAGCGAGACACAAAAGGCTACATACTCTGTTGTTCCATTTATATGACATTCTGGAAAAAGGCAAAACTTACAGAAACCAGATCAGTGGTTGCCAAGGGGTAGGAATGCAGAGGGAGCTGACTACAAAAGAGCACCAGGGAACTTTTTGAGGTGATAAAAATGTACTGAATCTTGATCATGGTGGTAGTAAAAGAGCATTATATGTTTGTCATACCTCATTGAAGAGGACACCTAAAAAAGGATAATTTAATGTATGTAAATTACACCTCAAGAACACACACACACACACCCTCAATACAAATACAAAACCAAAACCAAAACCAAAAACCCTTCCCTTTGCGCAATCCTAACAAGGGGAGGAAACTGGTCCAAGGTGCACCTTAACGAGGCCTGAAGGCCCGGGCGCCCCGGGGCCACCGCCACCCTCGGGCAACGGGACAGAAGCTGGGCAGGACAGGGCAAAATGATTTCGTAGGGAAGGTAATTCGAAGCCGTGTCCGCATTCACATAGCCAGGCTGGAAGAAAGCCCTCACTGAGGAGCAGCAGAGATGCAGCGAAGGAGCGCTGGGCCGCCGCCGCGGCTCCCCCAGCTTTGGGAACATTTCCCGAGGCTCCTTACCGATGTTCCCTTCGATGGCAATTTTCTTGATGCGGGTCCCCTCAGAGCCGGTCGCGGGAGATGGGCAGCTCCTCTTCGGTGGTGTGGCCATTCTGGTCTTGTGGCGGCCCCGAGCGCATCCAGCAAGGAGGGCTGGGAAGTGGCCACAGGTGCGCGCGCTGATGCTCGCGCCACTGCCGAACGTGACCTGACACGCAAGCTGAGCTCCAGTCTGCAGGAGGTTCTCCAGCCGGCGGGTCCTGGGGTTTGATTTTGGCGCGCGGAGTCAGCTGCCGATGGGGGCGGGACTGCGGCGCGGCCGCCCGCCCAGCCGGGAAGCCACGCCCCTTCCCTCTCCCCCAGCTGGCGAAGCCTCCTGCGGCCCCTCCGCCTTCGACGCCGCGGGCGGGGCCTCTGCGTGCGCACCCGGCACGTCGGATCACGCGGGAGCACAGGGAGGGACCGCGCGCGCAATGGCGCGCCTCTTCCCGGGGCTCGGGGCGGGGGTTCCGGAGGCCTGTGGAACCAAGGGTGACCGCCGAAGCTGGAGGGCGAGCGAGGGCAGGGGGTGCCACCCGCCTTCGTCACCAGGTGTGGGCCGGCCCCGACTTTGGAGAACTGGCCTTCCCAGTGGGGCCTGTGGAAGGTAAAGAGAGCGTCTGGAACAACTGGCTGGGAAGCTGTGTGAGGTGGAAAAATCAAACGGGTTACCCTGTGTAGTCAGCCTGGAGGACAACCATCAGGCTAAAGTGCCGCCGGGCACCCCAGCCATCAGGAAATGTATGGCACTCTTGCTGCGTGCCAGGCACTGTTTCGAGAGCTGTTCTTGAATTAACTCGCAGTCCAGTGCGGGAAGTCCCACCATTAGCCCGATTTATCAGTGAGGAAACAGGCACTGAGAGACCACTTGTTCAAAGTCTCAAAGGCAGTGAGTGGATCTGATAGGAATTTACGCAGTCAGACGGCACTCCACAGCAAGCTTTTCCTGATCTCTCAAACCCGTCTCCATTTGAGTCCCATTTATGTTGAAAGAGAATATGCCACTCCACAATATGCCACTACGGCATACAGATTATTTCTAAGTAAAGGTACTTTAGAAATAGTGCAAGCACACTCTGCCCCTCCTTTGTCCCCACTAAAAGGAGATGAATCTATGTGAAAGGTATCCTCCCTGTACCAGAAGGGTAGAAGGCCTCCTTATGGCCAGATAGGGAATTTAGGGCCGAGAAGGCCTATTAACAAACCCAGTTTATTACCCCAAACCCAAACCCCTTTGTCTTGTCAATTCTCGCTAATTTATTGTTTGTCTAAAAGATATAATGACCTACTTTGGTCATTTTGGTCATTCCTTTGAATTTCCTATGTTTATGGAGCTCCTATATATATATATAATTGTGTATATACATATGTGTATATATATATATATATACACACACACAATTAAATTTGGTTTCCTCCTGTTGACCTGTCTTGTGTCAAAGTAACTATTAGACCAGGCAAAGAACTTAGAAGGGAAGAAGGGAAAATTTTTCTGCCCCTACAATGCTATGCAGAAGTTACCACACTGGGTGGGTTTCTGTTCAGCATGCATATAGATAGCTTAATTTTGCATGCCCTACACCTGGCAAATAGTTAACAAATGCTGAATTTTTGAATGCACACTTCTGTGCCATGAACTTTGCTAGAAGACTCATCTAGCTGGGGATAGATGCAGTGTAGAAACACCCAGAATTTGGGGCACCTGGGTAGCTCAGTTGTGGGGCGTCTGCCTTCCGCTCAGGTCATTGCCTCAGGGTCCTGGGATCAAGCCCCTGCATCGGGCTCCCTGCTCCGCGGGGGGCCTGCTTCTCCTTCTCCCACTCCCCCTGCTTGGGTTCCCTCTTTCTCTGTCCAATACATAAAATCTTAAAAAAAAAAAAACCCACCCAGAATCATTTTTAATCTTGGCAAAGATCTAGTAAACACACTACCCAGTCTAGAAGTTCCTGAGTTCAAATGGTCTACAGAAACCAAAGGCCGTGTTACTCTGTTTTTTACCTTGCAATTACCATCAGACCTGAAATGCATCTTAATGGTAGAGTCAGAAGGGGTGTAAATGGTGAATCCATTCTGAGAAACAGAAGGCAGAAATCAAAATGTGAATTCATGGGGAATTCTAGAAAAAAACAGCAAAAATCATTTTGTTAACATCCCTGTAGTTATTTTATTTTTTGTTTATCCCCCTAGTGATTAGTAGCAGGATCCTTGAAATGAAGGCTGAACGGTTGTCATCAGGGATGGCAAGGAAGCCAGGGAAGCCACGGGGTGTTGATATTCCACACCCAAGCTTAGAAAACCCATGAAATGGTAAAGATACTGGCAGTAGAGAGAGAAGAGTAAGGCAGGGTGAATGAGACCTTCAAACAGGAGGAAAGTAGAAGAAAAGGAAGAAATTCCATATGGAACTGATAAAGATGTGTAGGTTTGAGGAACAGGAATACCCGTGTGGTTTCCACAAAAGAAAAGTAGTATAATGCCGAGATTGAGAGGTCTAAGCAGTGGAAAATTAAAAAACTGGTTTCAAATTCCAGCTCTGCCAGATTCTGGCTGTGAGAACTTGAGTTCCTCAAAGCTTGAAAGTGTTCCTTAAAAATACGAAGTCGATGGGGGAAAGAGGGAAACCCAGCTTTCCTGGCATCAGGTTCAGCATAATTTACCATTTTCCTAAATAACCTTTGGATAATACAAGTTAGAGATAAGAGAAAAGCACTTTTAAAATCTCCTTGATTTTTGGGGCGCCTCGGTGTCTCAGTCAGTTAAGTGACTCTTGGTTTCAGCTCAGGTCATGATCTCAGGGACCTGATCTCAGGGTCGTGAGATCAAGCCCTGTGTTGGGCTCCGGGCTTGGCCCAGAGTCTGCTTGAGATTCTTTCCTCCTCTGTTCCTCCTTCTGCTCACACTCTCTCTCTAAAATAAAATCTTGGGGCGCCTGGGTGGCTCAGTCGTTAAGCATCTGCCTTCGGCAAATCCCAGGGTCCTGGGATCAAGTTCCGCATAGGGCTCCCTGCTCGGTGGGGAGTCTGCTTCTCCCTCTGCCTCTGCTTGTGTGCTCTTTCTCTCCTTCTCTGTCAAATAAATAAGTAAAATCTTTAAAAATAATAAAAATAATAAAATCTTGAAAAAAAAATTCCTTGATTTTTATCCACAACCCCTTATCTGAAACGCTTTTGCAGCCAGATGTTTCAGAATGCAAAAATTCTTGGATTTTAGAAAAGAAATTTACAATCGTGTAGTACATATAACCATCCCTTACCCTCCTGCAGAGGTGTTAAATACACAGATAATTTGCAGTGAAACACAGATTTCACATTAGGTGGGATAAAAACTATTAACTTCAGAACAGGTTAAGTTTGCACTAAATTCAAGAAAATACTTTGTTTTCCAAGCTTTTCAGATTTTGGAATTGCAGATAAAAGACAGGGTATCAGAACACCCAGCCAGTCAGGAGCATGCTACTATCTTCACCCTTTCTTGTCAGAAATTTTACAACTACTTCAATCTGGGAATTCCTTTTCTTCTGTGGGAATGCTGGTATAACTAAGGACAGGATCTTGACATAGAGGTTTATTAAGAAAACTCTAAACCAACTCAGAAAATGAGAACAAAGGCAAAAAAAAAAAAAAAGAGTCCCTGAACACTGATAAGTAGTGGTTACAGCCCATGCGTTTGTAGACACAAACCCAACAACTTCTGTAAAATGATATTTATTGGCTTAATAAGCTTGGTTATAATATACTCCTTGCAACCTTCATTATTGCCTAGAAACACATGAATGCAGAAGGCATCATAAAAGCAAGAGTGGGGAGTCAGGTGCTTCCAGCAAATCTGAAGTGCAATAGCAAAATAACAAGCTAGAAGGGCATAGCAGGGAGCCATCAGTCCTATATAGCTCCTTATCAAAGGAAGCTATATTACACTGCATGCTTGTAAACTTAGGTCATCAAGAAAATGTGACATTGTACTCATTAAGCTGTTTAAAACAGGAGTATAACATTTATTAAACATGGTTGCTTAAAGGAATATTTAGAACTTGATACCAAAATTCATCAATCCAAGTAATATTATATAATGAAGAATTAATTATTTAAATTTAGTACAACAGAGGCAAATGAACCTAATTACCAAAATATAGTTAATTTTTACATGGGTATGTATTTCTTTATACATGGTGGATGCTTTGTAGATACTGTACGTGCAAAATAACAAGGTGTTTTTATTTAAAGTATGCAGGCACAAATCATATCAGCATGGACTAGTATTTCTACACCTAATCTTTTCTACAATACCAATTAGTGACACTGGGCGAATGTGGACCTGATTGTCCAAACACAAATGCCTCTAAACATAAATATCTCTAAATAATGACACTCTTGAGAATACTCTAAAATACACAGTTCCTTTTGGAATTTAGGTATCAGGGCAAAATGAAGATCCTCCAATACTGCTTATTAATATTCTTTAATGGCCTATAATGAAAACAAAATATTAGATAAAAGCTTGATAGAAAGACCAACAAATAATTATTTTGCTAACTGTTCTCATGGCAGTAGAATATTTAAAGAAAACAAAAGTATTGGCTTCAAGGTCAAGCCTATTTGGGTTTTTAAATCCTAGTCCTAATCAGGGATTTATACAATTCCTGAGCTTCAGTTTTCTAGTATGTAAGACAATGAGATACTAACCTCTGGGGTGGTTGTGAACCTTATTAAAAATAATGCCTAACAGGGACACCTGGGTGGCTCAGTCGGTTAAGTATCTGGGTCTTTGTTTGGGCTCAGGTCATGATCTCATGGGTTGTGGGATGGAGCCCCATGTTGGGCTCCACGTTCAGCAGGGAGTCTGCTTCAAGATTTTCTCTGCCCATCCTCCAACTCACATGCACACATGCATGTGCGTTCTCTCTAAAATAAATAAATCTTTAAAATAATGCCTAACAAATTTTAAATGTCCAACATATTCCATACTTTCAGTATTTCCCTAGGAATGTGTTTAATGTGAGAACATCTACAGCCAAAATAATCAGTAATGCAGTCAGTATTCATGGCCAAACATAACTATTTATTAATTTTTTAAATAAACATTCAGTTTCTTCCTTTAAAAAAAAACCTAGAATTTAAATATTTCCCATCCCATCACATAGAAGTCTGTATACATTATTTACATCTCTCAATTAAACGTAT